CAGTCCCACGAGGCCTCCGGCTACTGTCCCTGCTGACCTTTTCCCCATACACGCAGCAATCGGTACTCAGCTAAATGCTCTAAGGGCGCCACTGCAGTTTCCCGGTCCTCTATCCTGTGAATCTGAGATGCTTTGGTCTCCCTGGACTCTCAGCTCTGAGTCTCTAAGTCAAGGAGTTTCTGGGTCACCTGAGTCCCCTCCTGAGGCTCAGCATGGACACCCTTCCAGGCGGTAAGCTGGGCAATTACAGGACTCGCTCAGTTTATTCCTGTCTCTCAGAGAGCGCTGTCCTTCAGTGCCTGACCCAGTGTTGTGCAAATTGTCTAGAATAGTATATGAACTAAATTACACACACACACACACACACACACACACACACACACTCACACACACACGTAGTGCCCAGTCCTGGTCATATCAGCCAGGAGGTATATCCGCTGCACGTTACTTCTACCTGGCCGGAAGCAGAAGCCCCTAGTGCTCGTTTGAGCGGAATCGCATGGCCCCCCAGTTCCATGCACAGAGTGCTGTGAACTACCCTCACATCACTTGGCTCCAAGGACAGGGACCATGTGCCTCACCCACTGCCCCACGCAGAGAAAGAACTTAGAAATACTTAAAGCGAATCTTGACCAGTAGTCATCAAGGCGATGAAGTTTGCATGAACATGGATTATGAAAGTTCCAACCAGTTATCGTTCATTTGATAATCTGATTTTGGGGAGAATCTCTTTTTTGTGTGAAATCTCATTTTTCTGAGGCTTTATGCACAAAAGTAACAGACTATGCTGAAAAGGTACAGACAGCGAGGGAAAGTTTAAGCTCAGAAACAAAGGCATTGAAAGACAAAAATGAGATTTAATTCCAAAGCTTCACTTCCATGTGCACTCTGCGCTTATCTACTCCATCTCTAAGAATGTTCTGGAAGCAACTAAATGTCACTCTGGAGGCGACCAGCCTATCACCTCAGGCTCCTGTAGAAACAACCAGCCTCAGATTCTCTCGTGATTTCCTGACACAGAGTGGCGATGCTATTAACACCCACCACCAGGTGCTAGGGAAGCACTGTGGGGAGAAAGTATCTTGGAATACAATGGTTTCCCCAAAAGAGCCTAAAAGCGGCAATGTGGGAGCGTGAATGCTGGCCTGGACCTAACACCGGGCTGCTATGCGCTGGTTCTCCCTCAGATTCTCAGTCAGCCAAGTGAGCAGGACAAACGGACCGCTCTTTGTAGGTGTCAGTGCTTGGGAGACATATAAAGGCCCTTATCGCCTTCCCATTTTCAAACACGCAATGTTAAGTCCCAGATGGCCAAATTAGTAACATTCCAGTGAAAACTGAACTATCAGAGACTTGGATCTCAGCAGAAGCCACCCCACAGTCTGAACTAGAAAATGTGTCCCCGAAGACACTAGCTTCTTTCTATCACCATGGATGTGCTCTGTCGACCTACAGCCTCAACTACATAAAGCAAGACCCCTTCTATTGGATCAGCGAGTCTGGGCTCTGTTTGGAAAAAGACAGGCTGTGACGCACGGCAGGTCATGAAGTCAGTTTAATGTATCATGACTAGCTTTTCTTAAAATGACATAAACTAAAAGGAAAATACTAGAGCACAACCTAATGGGGAGGCAAGCACTGATCTGAGAAATTTCTCTTTGTGATTTCACATATGTAGGTTTGTATATACAGGGCGGTAATAAAAAGTATGCCTTTGACTTTGGGGTGTGGCCAAAGAGCTGAACGTCACTGGTCCAGCAACTATTAGGCTGCCACGTTCAACCCCTGGTGGGGGCGGGAATGGGCGTCACTGTCTCAAGTGTGCACCTCCTACAGCATACACATGTGAGTCGTCAGGGTTTAGAGCTAATGAACATCACCGTCACTCAAGCACAAGTAGGCAGTACACGACACCAGTGCTCTTTCTCTTCAAAAAGTAACACAAAGCCAGATGTTTAAAAAAGGGTTCAGGGGTTTTTAAAAAACATAACAATAAAGCAAGGCAAAACCAAGGTGGCCAAGGTTTGTGGATGAATCCCAAATTCTAAGAGTAAGAAAGAAAAACAGATGCATAGGATAGCTGTCTGCCATCCCATCTGTCTATCAGTCCGTCTGTCCACCCATCTGTCTGTCCTCCATCCCATTTGCCCATCTGTCTGTCTGTCTGTCTGTCCATCACCCCATCTGCCCATCAGTCTGTCCATTGGTCTGTCCATCACCAGGTACTTACTGATACCCAGCACTAAGGCCAGAAGCAGGGCTGTAGTGATGAAGGACTTGGTCCCTGTCCTCTCTGTCCTCCTAGTCCGACCTCAGTTTATGCCTCCATAAATGGCAGACCTCAGAATGGCTAACACTGCCCAGTGCCTGCGACGCACCAGGCACCGTATCGAAGTCTTCATCTCTATAGACCCAGTCGGCTATACCACATGTTCGGGGACTTCAGGGCCACCTGAGCACCTGCCTTCTCCCAGTATAATCTGAGCTGCCTTTCTTCAATCCTTCCCTCCCCTGCACCCTCACTTGGACCCAGCCTGTGCCGGTCCTGGTGTCCCTAGATGTGCCACATACTCCCACACCTTCATCTGTATGCAGGTGTCCCCTATCTGCAGGTCCTTTAACACCCATCCAGGAGGTTCCTGCTCACTTTTTAGGTTGCTAAAATGACACTGCTCAGGAATGCTCCTCAGACCTCACTGAGCCCCCCAGCCCAGCTGCTGCCCAGGGCACCACATCACGCCAGGCCCTGCATCCACTTGACATGATGGCGAGCAGAAGACCGTGTGGTGTTTTTCTCTCCAAGTCCCCAGGGTAGGCACATCAGAGAGATGTCAACTGCCACTGGCTGGGTCCACGTGGAAGCATTTTACACTCACCGTCTCATGTAATTTAACCCTCACAACCTCTACAAAGGAAAGCTGACCCCCACTTTGTCTATGGGGAAACTGTGGTATAGAGAGAGACCGCCTTGCCCAAGGTCATGCCTGGGGTTGCTGGCTGCAAAGACGTGAATGCGTGTTGAAATACACCTTCTAGGAGCAAGACCCATAGGCTCAAAACGAGGTGGTTTTCCGGGTCATCTCAGCAGTCCCCAGACTCAAGTCCACACATCCCCAGTCTTGGAGGCCTGCCTGAAGACAGTGTGTGGATATCTGAACCAAGAACAATTAGGAGATGCTCATGCTTGTCTTCCAACAAATATTTGTGTCTCTATGAATAGCCTTGCCCTGGGTGTTAGGGAGAAGGGATAGGAACCAAGGCCCTGGGGGAGTTCAGGGCTGGCACCCTCCAGCGTCATGCCTCTGTTTCTGCCCTGTGGTGCTGAGCAGTGAGGGAGCATGACTGGCAGGGCACTGGATACCAGGGAGAGCGAAGGCTGGTTGTTTGGGACAGGGCTCAGGGTGGACCCAGGCAGGACATGGCCTCTCAGACTGGAGCACTGGGCTGGGTCTGAGGACAGAGGCTCAGGCAGAAGGGTCCCCTTGCAGGGGCGGTGTGCAGGCCTGGGGCTGGGGAGCACCAGGCACGGCAGCCCATGGACCCGTCAGAGGAATGGGCCATGGGAGGAAGACACAAAGACTCACAGATCACAGTGGCTTTGAGCAGACCCTCTGGCCACCTGCCACAGGCCACAACATCTGAGTCTGCCCAGTGCCCCAGCCCTCCCCTGTGCAGGCTGCCTCTTTCTGGGGGTCACTGTAGGTCTCCCCTCCCAGCTACTGGCCTACACCTCTTGCTGTGTCTGGAACCCCCAAGCCCTGTCCTCAAGTGCCATTGCCAAGTCCTGTTTGAGGAGCAGCCACCTCCCTGGAGCTGCAGGTGGAAACCAGCCCCTGGCACTAGGGACAGTCATGAGACATTGTTCCTGGCCGCCCAGAGGGTCTCTGACAACCCAGTGCCAGTGGTCACTTTTTCCTCCATGTGGATGCCACACAACATCCCACAGCAGCGAAGCGGTGTCCAGCAGCACCACCGCCATGGACTCAAATCCGGCACCACCGCCACCACAGACGCGAGTCCGGCACCACCACCACGCATGGCGGCGCATCTTTACTCAGCCTCCTTCAGAGACATGATCACACTGGTTTTCAGACCCACTCTTCAGTCACTCAGCCTTCCCTTTGATTCTCCACAGCTGCCCTTGACCTCCTCTTGATCCCTTCTCACTGAGGCCAAAACCCTTCATCTGCCCCTCCAGGCTCAGAGCCGCTGTTGTCAAGCAAACATTCAGCCGAGGTCAAGACTGAACTGATCATCGGTCAAAGGTCCCGCTTTCCCTGAGAAGCGTCGTCTGGGGGCCAGGGAAGCCGTGCTGTCCCCGGGTTGCTGACACAGGGTTGCCGTCTGGGGCTAAGCCCCAGGTGCATCCACAGCTGACGCCTGGAGTTCTGCCATGCCACCAAGGCACAGCTCCATACCTCGCCTGTCCTGCCCTCAGAGACCCCATTGGGTCCCCTTCTCACCAGCTCTGGACCCCGACAGGGTGTGTCCTGCAGGCACCTCTGCTCTCAGAGTGGTGGGAACAGGGCACAGGTCCTTGCTGTTCTCAGTCCCCCTCGAGTCCCCAGAGATTCATATGGGGATTTCTCACCCGTGGTGCCCGTCACCACACAATCCAGCCTAAGGCCCACGGCTGGGCACACCACTTCCCAGGCTAGAAACTCTAGGGTCAGTTCTGGCTCCCTCCCCACGGGACAAAGACACTGGAGCAGAGTGTTGATCACTTGGCCCTACCTGGCTCTTTCTCACACTGTCAGCACCACCACCACCAAGTGTAATGACATTTACCACGGGCTCCATGGGCCAGACACTGCGACAGAGCATTTCACAGGCATGGTCAACGTCGGTCCCACAACATCAGATAAGGTGGACATGCACAAACAAGGCTGATGGAGGCGCCCAGGGCCACGGGCCATTGGGGTCTCTGTGCTCCACCTGCTGGCACAAGATGCTCCCCCACGCGAGCTGTGACATGGAGACCTGAAGGAAGGGTGCCTCACCATGCCGCCAGTGCACTCGCGGCAGTCCTGCAGACAGCGGATGTTCTCCCAGGTACTGTAGGCCTTCAGCCCAGCCACCAGCGCCTGCAGCGGGCGGCTGTCCACCAGCTCCTTCCCTTGGAAGATATCCTCGTCCAGGAGGCCGCCAGCATATCTGCGGGACCAGCAGACACATGTGATTCATGCAGTGGCGCCCCAGCACACGGGCAAGGGACACTGCACACCTACTCCTCCCTCTGTACTCCCAGAAACATCACCCTGTAACCTGGGGCTCCCCACACCTCCTGCTTCCTAAACCCTCCGTCCAGGGTCACCCTCCCGCCAGTGTGCTCACAGGCCTCGGCCAGCACCTCACGGGCTCAACTCTCTTCCTGCTTTAGTCGACACAAATAGCATCACGTTCAAAATGGTTTTCTTCTATCCCTCACACAAAAAAGTTTCGCATGTCTCTTATGTGGTTAATTTTTCAAATACTATGTCATTAGAAAAATTTTAAGTGGACTGTGTACTGGGCAGATGTGTGGCCCCACACGTGTGCAGGTATGCACGTCTGGAGCCTGAGACCATGCTCCCCACACACAAAGGGACTCTGCTGACACCATCACATGCAGGAGCTTGAGATGGGGAAGTTAGCCTGGATTACCCAGATGGGCCAATGTCTCACGTGGGTCCTTATAAGGGACAAGGAGGTAGGAGGAGACATGACAACAAAGCAGGCAGGTTGACACAACAGGAGACTCAGCCAGTATTCCTGGCTTTGGAGAGGAAGGAAGAGGCCACAAGCCAAGCAGCAGCTTCTACAAGCGAGAAAAGGTAAATCAATTCTCCCTTAGAGACTCCACAAGGACTGCAGCCCGGTTCTCATCAGGGAGATCCATTCCGGACTTCCGACCTCCAGAAGGATAAGATAATAAATGTGTGTTGTTTTAAACCACCAAGTTTGTAGCAATTGGCTACAGCACTAACAGCAAACTAATACAGATCACGTTTGTGCGTGCATGCGAGTTGTGGGCTGCATATTGAAAGGAGTAGAATTCATACAAAGGATGTCCTGGGACCCTGACCTCTAGATAACCAAAGCAGTCAAAGCAGATGTCTCAAAAAAAATCGTAACCTATTTTGAACTGAATGAAAGTGAAAACGAAAATACAACATATTGAAGGCAGAAGAATGCAGCTTAAGCAATGCCTAGAGAGAAATTTTAGTGTGAAACGAGCACATTAGGCTAAAGAAAAGAAGAACTGTATGCCAGCAGTGTAGCCTGGTTGGTAACTTTTTTCTCACAGCAGTCCAGACTTGCAATTCTGAAAATAATTTGCAGGCATACTATGTATGGACGAACAGGAAAAGACACTGTGTCCCCTTGACTATTATCATACCATCTATAAAAACAATCATGGAGATACAACGCAGTTTCTTGTTTGACCATAGTATGCATGTAAATTAAAGTACAGCATAGGGAATATAGTCAATAATGTCATAAGAACTATATAGGGTGCCAGGTGAGTACTAGACTTATCAGAGTGATCACTTCGTGAGTTATGTAAATATCTAATCGCTGCGTTGTACGCCTGCAACTAATGTAATTTTGTATGTCAACTATAATTGAAAAAAATTTAATTTAAAAAACGCATTGGAAACTAAAAAAGAAAGAAAGAAAAGAAAGAGAAGTATTATAAATACTGAGAGTCAGATTTCTCACAGAGAAAGAAGCTACAAACATGGAAAAAGGAAAATACTAGAATAAATCTTGTGGTGCTGGACAGGAGTCAGAGGTATTAGTAAAAATTCCTTTTTATTTTTTATTTATTTTTTATTTTTTTTATTTTTAGGTGATTACAAGGACCTTGTCAGCTTACTATCCCTTATTTTTTATTTTTTAGGCCTACAACACCTAGTAAAAACTCCTTTTTAAATTCTACTATATCTACTGATAGATACACACGTTCTCAGCCATGTCCTCTGAGAGGGACCTGACAGCGACATCCCAGGAGTAGTCAGCACACCCAGCACACATAAATTAAGAAAGTGCTAAAAAGAAAAGTGGGCGCATCGAAAGGGTATAGGAGTGAGCTCACAGACGTCTGCTATGGCCGAGAGGTGAGAAGTGGCAGTGGGGACACACACCAGGCATTTGACAACCGCCCTAGGTGGCGCTTGCCTTGTGAACTGTTAGTCTCCATACCTATGCGTGGCCTACTCTGTAGTCCAGCTTATGTCATGTCCATGTGACCAGACTCTGCCAGACTAATAACAGAGCAGTCTTGTCCACAGTCAAAAGGGTTAATTCAGGGTCTGAGATGATAGAAAGAAAACAGACTTAGCAGGAGTTGAGCAAAGAGATTAAAAGAAAAAAGATGATACCCGAGTCTACCTAAAAGATCTCCCAGTGGCCAAAGCTGGAGCAAGGAGAGCAACTAAATAAATAAGATAAATCGGGGAGAGACGACTTTGGTCAAAATTCAACAGCTGTGATAAAAATGCTCAGCCAATTAGGAGTAGGAGGGAACTTCTTCCGTTTAACAAAAGGCACCCACAAAAATCCTACAGTGAATATTCACACTTAATGGGGAAATATTGAATGCCTTTCCTCTGAGATCAGGAAATAAGAAAGCTGTCTACTCTTACCACTGCCATTCGATATCGTAGTGGAGGTTCCAGCCAGTCCAATAAGGCAAGAAAAAAGAGTGAGGGAAGGCATAAATATTGTCAAAGAGGAAGTGAAACTTTGTGCACATATATATGATTGGTACATAGAAAATTCTAGAGTGTGTAAAGAAACTACAAGATCTAATAAGTGAATTTAGTGAGACTACAGGATACAAGGTCAATATACAAAAATCAATCACATTTCCGTAGGACATTAACAAGCAATCGGTAATTACATTTTAAAGCAATTACATTCAAATAAGTTTAGTAAGAAATGTAAAAGACCTCTATACTGTAAATTATAAGAAAAATTAAAAATCTTTATACAGAGAAAGACACCATCTTCTTGGATTTGAAAGACCCAGAAATGCCGGATGGATTCAGTATGGTCAGAAATAAATCCAAGCAAGCTTTTTTAGTAATAATAATAGTAACAATAAGCAGAATCGAAATTGTATATGGAAAGACAAAGGGCCCAGAGTAGCCAAGACAAGTTTGAAAAAGAATAAATTCAGATCACTCACACAGCCTGATTCCTTTTTTTTTAACAGCTTTCTTGAGATGTAGCTCACATACCATAGTATTCACACTTCTTAAACCAGTAGCTCCGAGTATATTTAGAGTTGTGAGCCCACCGCCATCTGATTCTAGAACATTTTGTCACCCCATGAAGAAACCCCACACCCACTGGCAGTCACTCTCATGCCCTCCTGTACTCCAGCCCCTGACAACCACCTAGCTACTCTCTGTCTCTCTGAACCTGACTCTTCCGGAAATTTCATATCCATAGAATCGTATCATATGGTCCTCGGGCTTAGCTTTTCCCTTGGCACGATATCTTCAAGCTCATTTCTGCTGTGGTCCAGACACTACTGCGTCCCTTATCCTGGCTGAGTAGTATTCCATCACGTGGATACACCACATCTGTTTGTCCGTGTATCAGTCAACGGACATCCAAACTGTTTCCACATTTTGAGTGTGATGAGTAGTGCTGCTGTGAACAGTCACATATGAGTGTTTGCATTTCTCTTGCATATAGACCTACAGAGGGAATTGCTGGGTCGTGGTAATTCTGTATTTAACATTTTGAAGAACTGCAAACTATTTTCCAAAGTGGCCGTACCGTTTCACAGCCCTACCAGGAATGTGTGAAGGTTCCATTTCACCATATCCTCAATAACACATGTTTTTATCTGTCTCTTTTTGTTACAGGCATCCCAGTGGATGTGAAGTGGTATCTCACTGTCGTTTTTATATGCATTACCCTGGTGAATAATGATTTTTAGCCCTTTTTCATGTGCTTATCAGCATCTGGATTTTTCTTTGGAGAAATGTCTATTCAGGTCTTACCCATTTTTTGACTGGGCTATTTTATTGTTGACCCGTAAGAATTTTTTATATGTTCTAGATACAAGTCCCTTATCCAATATATGATTTACAAATATTGTCTCCCATTCTGTGGATTGTTTACTAATTTTCTTGATGATGTCCTTTGAAACACAAAAAGATCCTACTTCAGATAAAAATCCAGTTTATTATAAAAAGTCCAGTTTGTTATAAAAGGATGTGATATGAGGATACAGAACATCCAGATGGAAGAAACAGGGTGGGGCTGAGAGTCCGAGGATTCCAGTCATGGTTGGTCTTTCTGGTGACAAGTCCCACCCATCCTGGAGCCACCCAGGGTCACCTTGTTAGAACAAAAGACATTGCTGTCACCCAGGAAATTAGAAGGGCTTCAGGAGCTCTGTGTCAGGAACCAGGAACTGGCTAGTCCTCAGCTTCCTGACCATTAGAATGCAGTGATGACCGGAAACTGCTGGGTACTCTCCTTGGGCTGTGAGGAGGGACTCAGGAATCCCGCTGTAAAACTGAAGTTCCATGTGAACTTACAGCACTGGTACCTCTGTTCTACTGTAGCCTGACCTTCCTCCCCTGCTCCCAACATATTCACACAGCTTCATCTGTTTTCACTGTAAGTTAGAACCTTTATCAGATGGAGGAATCTAAGTGCTTGTGTCTGTTTATTTTGGAAACGTGAGAGAAACACTGGTTCAAATCTCACATTCTCTGAGCATCCGTTCATCTGGACACACAGACTGACAAGATGTAGGCACCACTTTGAAACCAAGGTTGGGATTTTAACCATGGACTCTCCTGCTCACAGCTAGAAAATGATACCGTCACCCCCCGCCCCCCACCTTTAATTCCTATTAATGCCAGGGCCTCAACTCACCTGCAGAGAGCAAACCCCGAGGGCATCTCACCTGCTGGCAAAAGTCAGGGCCAAGGTCGTAGCCAGATGAGGCATCAGCCGAAGGGACTGCGTTTGATGTGCAATAATCTTGACCTCCTCCTCGGCCTTGGGTCCAAACTGTCTCCGGCTGGAGAGAATCAAGCAGACACAGTATTACCAAAATCCAACAGGCAACTTCACTCCCAGGGCTGAAAGGACCAAGCAGCCATTTGTGTTGAAGCCATTCAAATACTTCAGAATATGGAATACTCGCGTCTCCAAGATGTGAGACAGTAAGATACAAATGCTTTTCAGCCCTTCTGGAAATTAACCTTCCCCCCATGGAATAGTTTCAAATCAGCAAATCTATTTAATAACACAAAGTAATTTTACTCCTTAACATTTACATGGCATTTCATAGTTCCAAGTGTCCCACAATCATTAATTATTCAGTTTTACTAAGTTTGCAACATAATTAATAGGACAGGAGCAATATCTTAGAATATATCTCAAAAGGACTTTCTCTACACGGGGGCAACACTAGCCTGGTGTTCCTGTCAGACTCAACAGCGGGTCACCACTTTGAGCTACCCAGGCCCCGGCCACTGCACACACTCTCCACATCCCACCCCTGTTCCTGCGCCCAGGGACAGCACCACACCCTGCTCAGATGCAGCCATGTCCACATGAATTGAGGCCTTCCTCAAAGCAGTTCATGATGTGGTGTGGGACGGTCCCCACAGGCAACGCCTGCAGACCAATCTTGTAGCATCCTGAGGCCAGTGGTAGGTCACCCCTCAGCCCTGGGCGGGCTGATGCCTTATACTCCTGGACATCCTGTCTGTAAACACCTCTGACCTTCATGTTGATTTTTGGAAAAACTTTCACATGCATACATACATGTATGCACACATGTGTGCACATGCACATATGCACACGTGCACATATACACACATGCACGCATATGCATATGCAGGCATCTATGCACAGGTACACACAGAGCTACACTATCAAACAGGCAGGGCACACTTGTGCTTCAGACACCAGTGAAGTGAGGCTGTCATCCACCACTCAGAGAGGGGAAGCAGCCATTTGTCTTAACTTCTATTTTTGGTAAAGACTTTCTTAAATATAGTTTTATACTTTAGCAATTGTCTTTATATGTACTCTTTAAAGGGCACCATCATCCTTTTAGTGCCTAGGTGTCTAGAAATCACACCTGGCCCTGTCATATGGATAGGAGGTGGCAAGGACACACGTGACAATGAGCACACAGGGCAGCTGCTATGAGCGCTGCAAGCACAGGCTCCTCTTCTACGGGCACATTCCTCCCAGGCACAGCTGATCCCCACAGACGCTGTCTGAGGAGCACCGCTCCGACCTGTCCTCTGTCCATTCCCCCCCACACGGCTGGGCAGGGCACCAACCAAGGCCCGACAGTCTGTGGGAAACCTCTCTGTTTTTGCTAGATCCTTGAGAAACCAAGTGAAAAACTCTCAGACCCAATAATGGCATCATCAGAATGTCAGTTCATTTTACAAATTCCATTTGTCCCCACCCTCCTGACTTTCATTTTTAAGGGCTGTGGTTATACTGTAACTTTTTCTATGGCTGTGTGGCTAAAATCTTGTCAACTAAAACCAGACATTGCCTCACATGATTCATTGCTTGGGGGACATCTGCACGCCTACTCGTGTTGGCACCTCACTAGGCGCTGGACGTCCATCAGGGTCAGGGAGGCCAGGTCCAGCCACTGAGCTCACAGGACCAGACCCAGTGGCATGAGTGGGAGAGCCCCTGTGCGTGGCCCACCTGTCAATCACCGCATTTCCCCTGTGTAGTCACAAGACCATTTCAGGAGCCTTCACCCACAGTGACAGCAAAAGAAGAGGTTGTCACGGCACCTTTCAGTTTCAGTTTGTTGAAAATAATTCAATAACAATACAGTTTTCGACAGTGTCCCATCAGATTTTCTGATTTTGAGCAGACAGCCTCACTCATGGTCAGCACACAGCTGACACTCAGCGTCTGCCGAATGATTGAGTTTTGCCCTGAGGATGTGCAGGTGAGGCAGGCAAGAAGCTCATTCATGACTTGAAGAGCATCTTTGATGCTAGATCCGACCCCAACCCAAGTGTGCCTCAGTTTCCCAATGTATGCACACTTTGTAATCATCCCATTTTCTCTTTGACCCTCAGAGTTCAGATGGGGCAACAGGTGCAGAACAGAAAGTGCCACCAAGCGTCCACTTGGTAGGATCCCGGTGCCATCGTCATGCTGATAAGGTTAGAGTTTAGCTAAGACACTACCATGAGACCAAGTGACTTCATAAAACTTGGGAGATTTCACAAGAGCTGAATTTCCAGCGTGTCTTAAAAACAAGGAGGATCCGGCAACTCTGGACCTTGTTCCATGATGTGAATGGCTGGAGCTCAGAAGCCGCTGACCCCTTGGCCGGGGCCTGGCTGCTGCCCGAGGTCCCCAGGGCCCTGTCACTCACTGGCATTACCTGCAGGCCGGGGAGGCACTGAGTTTTCAACCCCTGCCATAGTGGATCTCTTTTTCCATCCAGAATAAATTCACATTAGCATCCTCACTTGCTGATTAATTCTGTGACTATGAGTCTATGATTTCATTAGGAGAAATCCTAGAGGGCAAACCAGCTCTTCCCAGAGTGACATACAGTTGCCCCAGCTGGGCACTCAGGAACCAACTTTGGCCTTACTTGAGTGTTCCAACCGTTTGTTGTCCCCAAGAAGGAATACACCTGCCAAGAAGGACTCCTTGTGGTTAACTGGGCTCAAATTCATAACCAGAGTCTAACAGCCATTGCTGCTAGGGAAAGGCCTCTCACTCATGCTACGCTTCAGGGAAAAGTCCCAGACAGAGCTGCCAGCCTGCTGTACTGTATCTCTGACAGCTGAGCTGAGCCTTCTAAAGGGGTTTCTGACATCGTCTTTCCACCAATGGACTGAGACCTGCCCCATCCAATCAGAGCTGTGCAGTTACAACTTCATTTGTATCAGAGAGGCTCCATAACAACCAATCAGATTCTAACCAATCAGTACAGTGCTATTTGGACCAATCAAACTGTGCAAATTTGGAATCCTCATTTGCATAAAAATGGACCAATCACAGACCAGGGCAGGGATTTTTTTTTTCTCTATAAAAAGGGGCCTCCCCTTTGTCTCAGGGGAGTGCATTCTCGGTTTCCTCTGAAGGCTGCATTTCCCTGGTGTGCAAATTGTTCATGTGAATAAAGTCTCTCCTTTTCTGCACCCTAGACTGGGGACTCCTGTTGGCCTTGAATTGGTGGCAGCAACCTTTTGTTGACACGTTCTTCCTGCTAAGCCCCTTCAGACACCTTCACATCCTGGGCCTCTGTCCAGGCAGAGCTCTCCACCTGCAGCCAGCCTTACCCCTACTGACCATCTATCATGTTGGCAGCCCAGCCAAATGTCCTCCCCCACTGAGACCTTCTCCCTCCTCAGCATAGCCCCCAAAATCAAAACCAAACCAGTCTAAGCAGGAAGCTGCTTCTCCTCGGAATGCCCGAGCATGTCATGTTACTCCTCCCCACGGGAGCATCTTGCTCTTCACACTGGTGCTTGTGCACCTGTATTAACCACAGGTTTCGATGCCTTGACATCTGGGCCCTTGCTGATGCTGGAGGGACTGTCCCTTCCAGGACCAGCCAGTTCCTAGAGCGAGGAAATAACTTCTCTTCGAGCCCCTCTCTCTACACAAACCAGTGCAAAGCCCACACCCACAGCTAATGCCTTTGTCTGGCTCTGCCCTAGTCTCCCCAGGGCCTGGTGCCAGACAACTAGGGGCAGTCCCTGCCCTGGAACCTTCAGAATTATTCGAATGAGCCAGTCCTAACCCTGCCCAGCCTGCTGACCCTGCCTCACTCATTCCTCCCCATAGAACCAGGAACAGGCTCTTGTCCACGTCCCCCTCCCTCCCGCTGCTTCCTGACTGCCCCTGGGGCTTCCGTGTGGCCCTGCGAGGGTGGCATGCTCCTCCTCTTGGGAACTATGATAGCAAGCTACCTTCTTAGTGGCAGTTTTCTCCTGATATGTTAGCCTCACCACCCTCGAACAATAATAAACCCAGGTTTTAAAACAGCGCTATGGCAAGACTCACAGCTCATCAAAGGCAGGCTTATTCCGCCTTCAGGTGCCCCAGGCTGGCCAGGTGTGGCTGCTCAGGAAAGACGAAGGAAGAATGACAGACTAAAGTTCTGCCACCTCTCGGAGGCTCCACACAGACACCCCTTGAGCGTTCCCCCCCACACACAAACCCCCCTCCACTGCTCCTTGGAATGCTCGCTTGTTATTCGGTGTTTTGATAAAAGAACAGCTCGTGCCTGGGTGGGAGCAGTGGGCAGTTAAGACAGGCATGGAGGATGCAAGTAAGATGAGGGCCCACCCTGCCACCAGCCCTGCCCACCACTGGTTGGTTTTGTTTTGTGTTGTGTTGTTTTTTGCCCTGGACTAGAAAAAAACAAATGAGTAGGCAGAGGCAGGCAGCACCCACACCCTTTCCATCCCCTCCTCGCTCTGGCCCAAGACTCTGACAGTCCCCAAAGCACTGAGCCAGGGTTCCTGCCAGCATCTCACCCATAAGATGCGCTCTTTGGCTTCTCTAGGGGAAAACATGGCTCTAAAGGCTAATGGTCCTTCTCCTGCCCAGAGATGCAGCCAGAGGTCATCCCATGATGGCCACCATTCATTCACTCCCAACCTAGCCACTTCACTCCGGAAGAGGCAGCAGAGAGAGGGCCTCAAGACTGAGCTCTGAAAGGGCATGATCAGCGCAGTAGCCCTGCCCTGCCCTGCCCCTCTGGTCACCCTCTCATTCACGCTCTTGGCCCCAGCTTGCTGCACTGAGGACCATGAAGGCTTGGGTCCGTCCTCTGGCTGCCAGGTCCTGGTAGGCTTCCCCGGACTCATCTCAGAGGCCTGCAACCCTGCAGCTGGCCAGCAGTGATTGTCTGCCAGACGTCCTCCTACTCCAGGTCACATATATGTGGGCACGAGATTCTTCCCAGTCTTTCCTCTGCTGGGTTACTATTTTTCTTTAAAAACACATGTAGAGGCTATATTTTTCTCTGTAAACACAATTTTTATTTCAGTGTCCAAAAAA